ATAAGTTTTTTCCAGCATTATAAAACGGGACGAATTCATATCAACAATTCGTTGGAAAAAAACAAGAATCCAATATATTGCTTTGCTGACGTCAGCACACTCGTCATTCCATTTGGATTCCAGGACATCGGCTGAGGATAGACATCGTCACCGGCAGCAGGAGGTTTATATCTTAATGAGAATCTAGAAGTGATTTCGAATTGGGGTTTTTTTTTGGTACCTTGGGAGCTGTCTGACTTGTCCATTTAGTCCAAGTCTCCAGAAAACACTGGGCTTATTGCGTTTATTCTCCCATCTTCCCATGACACTCATTCCATTAGTCCCGTTCCATGTACTAGTTTGTACAGGTTCCGTGTTGAATGTTCATCATATTCTTCTGGACGTAATTTCGTACGTCCACATATTGCCTGCCTCCTGTGATTCAGTGCCTCACACTGAACAGTAGAGCTGTTTCTATCCCTTCGTTGCATAATCTGCAGCTGAGGTCTCCGTTGTACAGCCCAATTTCATTCAGGTGTCCTCTAAGCGGACAATGACCGGTTAGTAACCCTGTAATTATTCTGAGCCGATCCCGACTATATTGAGGTAGTTCTTCGGTTCTTTTCTCGGACGGTTCCCTAATGGAGGTTCTACTGTGTTTGCTGCCAGGTACTTTTGTCCAGTACTCTGTGTGCATCTTAATGGTCCATGTCCCAATCTGGTTTCTTACCAATGATTTTGGTACCCCCAGAGCTGGTTCAGGACCTATATATGAAGTTGATGATCCGCGTCTAGCTCATTCATCAGCTTTATCATTACATATGCTTCCTGAATGCCCTGTTACCCAGTACAAAGTTAATTTGTTTCTGTTTGCAAGTTCATTCAGTTCTTCATGGGATTCCCAGACCAGTTTTGATGTCACCTTCGGGTTTGTCAGAGCTCCTAGTGCGCTCTTGCTGTCTGTCTGTCGAATGGGTTCAATTCAATGCCACAATCATTTTTCTCCAAAAAGATGAATGTCTCTGAACCGAATATAATAATGTCAGGGCAGACAATTACGCTTTCTGTTTCGATGAGTTTGTGAGGGGTTAAAATGGACACTAGTATGTCTTGGCACAATCATGTCGCTGGAATTGCAAAGGCTGCTTCTTGAAAACTTAGAACACTGTTTCGAACCAGAAAACTGTACACACCTCGACAACTTTTGATGTTTTTTAAAGCTCAGATCAGACCTTCTCAGGAGTATTGTTCTCGTGTATGGAGCTCCGAACCTAAGCATACCCTGAAGATATTGGATTCCATCTAGAAAAGAGCCATTCACCTCATTGGAGACCCGAACATCACTTGCAACCTCGATACTTCGTTTATGTGAAATGCACTTCCTGATAACGTTTTCCAAATGGATTTATATTCCAGCGATTCAAATCCAATGTGAATCGTTACTTTCGCACAGACACTGCCATTATAGCGCCTGAAGGATTTTTCTGTGGTGCTCGTGTTTTTTCCTTGGAAAAAAGATTGTTTCTTTATTTAATCTTAAGATGGACTGCTCAATATTATTTCAGGTCAGGTGGGGTAAGTGCGATTTTGGGGAAAGTGCATCCAACGACCCTGAAAAATTAATTTCTAAAGTTTAGGGTGCGCCATCTGTGGATTTTAATTGAAACGTTCATACCTCATCGTCAGGAATCGATAAAACGCGGAAACAGTGCGTGTCACTTTGGCAAAACCTGTTGGAACGCCAACGTGAATTTTAATATCCTTGTGTCAATTGGATTATTTCGTTCTGATAATTGATTTCTATGTTGTCGTTGGGTAAGTGTAAAAGTGTTTATATGTAATAGTGTTCGCTTTTGGTATAATTCAATGGGGGCATGTTGGTTTTTTAGAGGTTAAGCTAAGAACAGAAATTCGCTTAGGTGTGCACTTCCCCCGGCAAAATTTGATATTGGGGAAAGTGCGCATTTGTCGTAAGGGGGAAGTGCACAT